AACCACACACAGCCAAGCAGCTCTGACACCGAATTACACTGACCGAGGGTTTAAAGACATCCTTCTGTAAGAGACAAGTAAATATGCCTTGTCTCAAAATAAAAACAAAAACCTGAACATTCATCATGACTAATAGCACTGCACTGCCCTGTTTTTCCAGCCTTCCCACAATACCTGTGCTGTTTATGTTCTCCAGTTCGCAGGTTATCCTTGTTTTGAATTAGACTGTTGCCTTTTTGTTTTCATTTAAAAAAATGTCTGGATTTCACTATTTCCCTCTGTCTCCTGAACCCGTACTGGCTTCTAACTACTGATATCGCAGTTAACGTTGCTCTTCACACCTCCTGCTTTTGCCTTTCTGTCTTTTCTCCTGCACTAACACGTGCCTGAGAGCTGCGATGATACGTGCAACACACACGACTAGGATGCTCTAAGCAGGGTTACAGGAGGAATCCTACATGAAGCACGTCCCTGGCAAGCAATGGTATTTGTTCGTACTGTATAATGCTTCGGAAATAGCATCAGCCACATCTGCATGAGCAAAGCCTTTCAGAATAAAAAAATTAGGTTCTTAGATACATATCTGCCTCCAGCTGAGTGTGCGCTATTCTTTGCTTTGCTTTAAAGCTTTTAAGTGGTGATAGCCAGCGAGGCAAAGCTGGTTTCTTCACTGTCAGCCAACAGACCTGTAGGACTTTGACAGGCTTTAGATCATCTCGTACATTTGTTCAGCAATTCTGGGTCGCGAGTCACCCACAGGTGAACTGCAGGTGTATCAGTAACAGATAGTTTACAGGCTCATTAATCACATTTCCCCAGGTTATAGTGCAATCTTTGCTTTTGACCCCATTGCTGGAGCATCATCTTTTCCCTTATATTACTCTTTGGTATTTTCATGACATAGCTTTGGCAGCTATAAATCTTTCCACTTGTAGTCACCAATTTGCTGAACTTCTCTCATGTCATAGCTTGTGAAATATATATTTACATATTCTAAGGTTAATTCCCAGATTGAAATTAGACATTTCACTTAACCTGAAACACTATTACTAATGCTGAGTATTTTCATCAGGAGAACCTCTGAGGTTTTACTAGCATCTGTCAGATACATTCATTCTCTATCTATGAGAGTTATCATTGTTTTTCTGCCTTTTATATTCCACATAAAAAGAAATTACTGTCTATTCCCTAGCACCAATGTGAACCTGGCCAAACAGCAAATTAGCATGCAAAAAAGGATCAGGGAAACAGCGTGAAAGAGTCAAATGAAGTTAAGGAAACACTGATGACGGGCTGAAGAAACAATCTTTCCTGTGAGTCGTTCTGGTTTGTATTAAAATAGCAAAGTAGATACCAGCTAAGAGATAATATAAGTAAAAGATGAATGCAATTATTTAAAAAAAAAAAAAAACAACTTGCAAATCTCAGTACAGAGTGTCTTGTAAGTAGCAAGCGAGTTAAGTCTCTGAAAACCCTAAGCAAAAGGCTGTTCCCTTTGGCACTGACTCCTTCATGGTCAAAGCATTTCTCAAAGAAACTTTGTATCTGTACCTTTACAGAAAATAGCTTGCATATTACTCCTCACTGTTAGACTACTCCACTGCTCTGGGGGCTCCCCTTCCACCGGGGGTGGCATAATTTAACTGCAAAGTGATTTTGAACGTCTGTATCTACACACAGATAACTTAAATGCAGCTTTGCTTCTACAAAACACATTGCGCGCAGTCTCTGCGGGTAAGGACCTCCGTATTGCACCAGCTCTGTGTGTATGTCAAGGTACTTCATAACCAGGGGGTTAACAGCGGGGACTGCAGAGCATTATTCAAAGTACCTTCCACTCAGCTCTGAACGCATCCGCCTTTGATCACAAGTATATCTGCAATTAGTGCCTCATCTTAACATCTCAATAAGCAGTTCACGCATTCAGAAACAGACATCAGTGGGTCTAACAGCTACTTTAATTCATTTTATAAATAAGCAATTGAGAATTTTGCTCCAAGTGGCTGCTCGTGTAGCCCATTCCGTAAACGGCGTTCTCTGCAGAGTAAGGCACGATGCGATACGAATGCAGCTCTTCATAATAGAGCGACTGGGAACAGCACTCCTGTACCATAAACTTCAGCCGTTTTCGTGCATCAGAGTAAGCAGTCCTATAACACGGAGCCTCCTTAAAGTATTCATAGCTCTCCCTCTCTGTCTCTAGGTGAATCTTCCTCAACAGATTGTTAATTAATACAGACCTACGGAGATAGGCTTCAGGGTCATCCAGGAATCGGAGTTTCTGGAGAGAAAGTTTTAAAATACAAGTCCGGTCCTCGGATAGTATCAGGTGCTGGGGAGTAAAAAGCAAGCAAATTGGTCTTTAGCATCGAGGAATGAAACCAGGGGAGGATGGGATCTGGAATGAGAGAGCTACTCACTTTTGGACAATACTCATGGTAATCTTGATGTAAATGTTCTTCTTCTGCATATTTTCTCTTAAAGTAGGCTACTTTCGACGTCGTTAATGTCTTTGGTAGGCCCCGATCAGATCAGCTCTGCACAAAACAAGAAGAAAAAGAAGCTCGGTAACGCTTGCTGCCATGGTGGCTGTAACGTCACGGTCCGGGGTATGTAGGGGAAGGTCCAGAGGTGGGATGCAGCCAGGACGACACTCAGCCTCGACCTGCAGCCCTCAACCCACTGGAAAAATAATCGAGAGGCTGGCAAACGTGAAGGCATTTCTGAGCTGCCACCCTGAGGCTTGCCAGCATGGCAAGCCCTGCTCCAGAGTGACAACCACAGCACTAGGCACGTGCTGCCACTGCCGGGCAGGGTCTCCAGGTCCTACAACCAAGCGGGGTACCCCTGGCCAGCCACAGCCTCGCAGAGCAGGGCAAGAGAGATGCCCGAGCCAGGAAGGTCTCCACGCAATGCAGGAGGGACCGGGACAGGGCCACCCGTCTGCAGAACAGGGGTCCCTGCACCAGGCTGGGGTGTGTGCGGGACAAGGGATGGGGTTTAATTTCCGCACACCACACACAGAGCTCCGTGACTTCCCTGGAAAACCAATGCAGAGCATATTCACTAGATGGTAGTGTCGTCCCAGAGAAGCAGGAGAGACCCAGCTCCGTGGGAGTGTGATGGAGCTGGTTTGGTCACTGGGTTGCTTCGGTATTTCAGGGCACAGAGGATGGAGGCTCATCCTTTGGGCTAAGAGAAGGGACTATTGGGCTTTTGTCCTGTGAGAAGAGCCCAGTGGAGGTCTGCTCCCCCAGAGCAGAGCCCTGCAGAGGACCAGGGCTCTCGGCACACCTGCAGCCAGGCCTGGCTGGCTGCTCAGAGCTCAATCATCTCTATGGAAAGGTGACACGGTGATAATTCAGCATCTAACGAGATCCGTAACTTTGGTGGTATTCAGTCTGCTGAATACTGGGTCCCTATGAAAGCCAGGATTGGGTTTTGCTTTTCTATTCACTAGATAATACAAGGAGGCATGTGCATTTGTGGGTGGCATCATCATCTCCCAAACCCTCTCTTTTGTAAGAAATTTCTGTTGTTTGCTTTTAAATGCACTATATTTTAAAACTTCTTATGCTAACGTTTAAAGGCAGTCCAGGGAAAGAAAGTATCCGGAGCCACTTTTTAGAATAACTCAAAGTCAGGTCCTATGGGATATGTTTTCTTCCCCAGATTGAGATCTCCTTATGGGGGCATTTGAAACTTAGGTTTTCTGAGGAAATAAAGGACTTGGTTCTGGACTGCTTCTCTGCCACGGTAGGAAAGCCAAAAGGTATTGCACAGCCAAAACACAGACCTCATGTCACTGTTAGGATCCTGCCGTGAGGCATGGGGGGCTCCTTGAGTCTTAGCTGCAGGTGAGAGTGAAAAGATACCCACACAACTATTTCAGGGACTGGTGGCATCTCTCCTTCACTGGCAGGAAGGAGTAATGTGCTCTCCCTTCCTTCCCCTACATCAAAAACACACAAGAAGGGGTTGAAGAGGAAATCCCCTCATAAGAGAGTCTTCTTGTGTTTTCTCCCTGAATTTCAAGTCTGTGAGGATGGAGGTTTCCCATAAAGGATGTTACAAATCTGGGCAGAAAACTCTTGACCGGTGGATTAACACCTCATTGGGAGCCAGGACCCCCAGCCCTGCTCTGGGACCTGGCCCGATATGGGTTGCACAAAACAGCAGCATTTCCCGGGGAGAGGGACCATCGTTCTTGCAGTGGGACAATGTTACGTTTTGATCAGCCTGGACCACCGCGCACAGCAGAGACGCGCCCTGCACCGCCCTCGGCTCTCAAGGGCAAGGGTACGGCTGCGGTCTTCACAGCTCTGTTAGCATTGAGTAGCTGCAAACACTGGTTTAAATTCATACGCAGCAACCTTCACTGCTTGCAGGTTTTATTCTAGTATTTGAATTACACCAGAGCCTGGACATCCTGGACACTTAATTACTCTGATATTAGCTTCTCCTAGGCGAAAACCCCGCTGCTGTGTTATCTGAGCACAATCACAAATGCGTTTATCCTCCCAGTGCCGTGGGATGGGAGAACGTTACAGTTTTCCTCACACTACTCTGAGGAAGACAAAGGTACAGAAAGATGAAGCGACATTCCTGCGGCCACCCAGGCTGTCAGGGCTGGGAAAGGAGCCAAACCCAGCGTACAGGTTGATGAGCCAGCCATGGGCCCACCCTTCCCCTTCAAACCAAGCCTCTAAATGCTAAAACTTGCTCCCTAGTGGTTTTCACTGAAAAGGCTGGAAGCACAGCCCTAGCACTGCCTGTGTGCAGCGCAAGCAGAAAATCAGCCTGAGTCCAGGGGCAAGACAACCAACCACACAGCGTGCAGAGCATCACAGCTCGGTCCTTCAGCTCTGCCGGCTCCGTGCAAACCTTTCCTTTGCTGCTCCTGGCCACAGGAATTCCTCTCCCTGCCCCAGAGATGGAGGGTGACAGTGGGACCTTCAGGGTGGCCCTGGAGACACGACACCAGCAAACAGCAGGGAGCTGGGACAAGGCAAGCCGCTGGAGCGCTGGCACCCTGGCCCTGGGCGGGAGGGAGGGCTGTGTTTTAGCACATGCCACGGGCTGGGGGCTGATGCTGGCTGGCAGAAGCAGACAGAAGGAATTGTATTTTGCAGAGGGACGCGTGACCATCCTGGCAGTGGGTTCATCGAGTATCCAACTGGCACCCCCTTTCCGAGGTTATGTTCAGCACCAGCCTGGGACATACCCCTTGGGTGCATAGTGGTTGGCTGTATTTAAATTCCTAAAGACCTTACATCAGACAAAGTGGCAAAGTTATAACAACCCCCCCATAACTTGGTTTAGTAGCAAGGAAGGGAAACAACCAGCAAATGAACACCAAGAGCACCTCTGGGCTGTAAGGTGTTTAAATATGTTCCCACTTGTAAGTGAAAGGCTACGCTCTAAAAGCAAAGTAGCCACAAGCTGCTCGACATCACGCTAGCTGTTAGCAAATTCCAACAATTCCAAATCTGTAGGGCTTGGGGCACCCACTTCCCCAGCCCAGCAGCTCCCACGGGTTGTCACGAGTGGCTCAACTTCTACGTCCCCTCTCCGGGAGGGAAGGGGTGCTGCCTGCGCGCCTGCAGCAACAGGATGAGAAAGCGAACCGAACACAAGCGAGTCCCATCACAGGGCTGCTCCACAGAAGCTCAAGGTCCGCTCTTGTGTTCAGTGTAGCTGCCATCCCACCACCTCCCATCGTGTTGTCACCGTCACCTTTTGTGGCTGCTGGTGATGTCCACACATCTGTCTGTAGGTGCAGGGGAACAAGGGCATGAACTGTGCCCTTGCACTGTGCCCTTGACACCAGCACCGATGCTAAAGCCTACGAGGGGCACCTCTCCCTGCAGGAGGCTTGCAAGGACCAAGCCTTTCTCTAATACTTAGCTTGAAAGTCAGAGCAGACTGGCTCTGTGCATGCCTAAGGGCTGCTTGGCCAGGGTTACAGGCATACAAAGCTGTAGTAATGCAGCAGTGAATCAGACCCTTAGTGTTTTGTTTAAATATAAACATATTGAATCAGTGCTTTTTGTGTAGAAGGCTATTCTCGCGAGCCAAGTGTTTTGACAGTTACAGCAAGGTGGTATGAGTCACTGCCTCTGCCTCAGTCAAGCTCAGAGACAGATACATCTTAATCACATTACATTTTTTTCAGTGCTACGCCACAAGTCAAGGCACAGGGCCAAATTTCCCCACGGGGACTAACCGGCGTAGCGCTGAGTCCTGAGTGTGAGGTTTGTCCTTCCAGCCTGGATGAACCTTGGAAAAGCGCATTCAGCATCCTGCCAGCATTCAGCTGCAAGCCCTCTGCTAGTCACCAAGGACTCAGTAAAATTTGCAGCAGCGGGCAGTGCTGCCAGGGCTCGGGAGCCACAGGGCAGGGGCTGCCTGCTCACGCTGGCCAGTGTTTACACCCTGCCGGTGCATGCCTGCTCTGAATGCACGGCACATCGGAACACGGCGGCAGTAGCTGCCATTAACGCTAATGGAAGTTTGAAGCATAAATCCCACACGCGGCAGTAAGGGAATAGACGCCTCTGTCTCAAGCCTGGGTCTCTCAAACGCGGCTTCGTGAGGGCTTTAATTGTACTTTCAAAAGAGCAAAATGTGCCTGTTCCTATTTATTTCTCCAGGAATAATTACAGTGCTCTATGGCATGGTACCCACGGAGTTATTAGGCATGTTTGGACAGAGGGTTATCTTATCTAAATTGGATTGGAAATAGATTTATAGCATGGCAACTTCACAGTTGAACTGCAAATGGCAAGAAATTCTCTTCATCTGGCCCCTGCACTCCCACATCACCCCAGCGACAGGAGCCCCTCTTCGGCACGAATTAGTGCCGGGTGATCTCCACAGCGCTGCAAGCTAGCCCAGACAGGAGGCAAGACGGAGTTTAACAAATGATTGAACAGCCAGGGAAAAAAAAAAAAAGCAAAGCTCGTGCTTTTCCATCTCAAGCAACAAAGGGGAACCGCAAACCCCCGGGCCTGCACAGCAGCTCTGCCCCAGAGCTCGTACATGAGACCTGGGGAGCGTTCCCACACCTGCCTGTGCCTACACCTCTCCTACCTTTCCTTGGGAAGAAAATTCATCCCTGCCTGCTCGGTGCTGCAGTGAAAGGGGTTGTACGAGCAGGTACTATTGGTCATCTGCAGGGGGTAAGCACAGAGACTCGCTGGCCAAGCCAGACCTGCCGATGCTGCGCGCGGAAGGGGGTGAGTCAAATGTGCCGGTGCCCTGCAGGGTTTCCTCTCGCAGTGTAAGGGAGGATAATCAATATGCAAGCTAAAGCTGGCTGAGATGGAAACCATTTCTGAGCATCTCTTGCATGTACAAATAGAAAACCTGATGCTTCTGAGCACACAGAAATCGGCATTTATTATCAGCAGGAGACATGACTTCGACATGGCAGGAAATATCATCATGTCCTTGCGACCGCTGTCAAACTGCAGTGATAAATTCCCCCATCTCTAACCTTAGCAGCACTCACAATTAGGGAGTGCTCAGCTGAAACCCTCCTCTGATTTCACATGCTATGCTGCTGCATTTCCTCTCTTCCAGGGGCAGGAAAAGCGGCTGGTCCCACTGTGGGATTCCCAGTTGATAATGCAAAGCTACCAGACCACAGGCAGATGAACATGTGGATCGAACACACATGCCAGCCCCAGGATTTCACACGGACTGCCAATCGATTGCAGTCCTTCCAGAGTATCGGGTCTTACTCCTCACTCAGGCAGAGAGACCCCCCCTTTAATTGACCCATGGAAAGGTGGGGACCCACAGCCATGCTGTTGTCTGCTGGCTGGAGCCACTGGCTTTGCACTTTAAAACTGCCTTTCTTTTCGTTTGCTAATTGCTTTGCAGATCTCCCTAATTGCAAATTCTCCCTGGGCAGACGGGTGTGCAAGGCACAACCGCCTGAATAGCTCTCACGAGTGCATAAAGACACGAAACGTAATGACCGAGTGACTATTCCTGTCTCTCTCCTTGTAGTCCCCACTGCTTTTATCAGTAGAATAAAATCGTATTTCCAGCTTCACCCCCTTTCAACACTAACCCGAGTGATTTCCCTCGCTCTGAGGCAAGCCCGACCACCTGAAGTCTGCAAACTTGTTAGTTACCTGAGGATGCGGAGTCAATCTGCAAAGGGTCTTTCTGGGATAATCTCAGCAGTTCTGGTAAGATTTCCTCCTCGCACGGGCTCAGCGAGCATTTCTGGCAGCACAGCACTGCTGAACGGTTACCTGCCGTGGTGGATCAAGGAGAAACACACATGGTTCAGGTGGCAAAGTCAGGACATACGCGGCAAGTAGCTGGACCGCAAGGGAGGAGAAGTGCTATTCCAGCAGCCCCACAGGTCTTAATGACAGGAAAAATAAGAGTTCTGATGTCACATCCAATTCTCTAACTTTGACCTTGCTTCCCGGACTCCCTTTCAAACATCAGAAAAGTAAAGTAAAACATTAAGAAAAAGCATTTCAGTCTCCCAGTGGTATAGCTGTAATCCTCTCGGAGCAAATGCTGCAAAAATACAGCTTGCGCCTCTAAATATCCGGAAGTTTCCTGAGCTAGCACACGATTACTGCCCTGAACACCACCTTTAAAAACGGCACATTATTTTCTCCATTAATTCTTGTCAGCCTCGGAGGAAAGCTAAAGGGGTACTATTAAAACCACACCGTTATTTTGAGTAGTAGCATTAATTTCCTGTCACACACGCACATACACACCCACACTGCCTGCAGAGTAATACGGGTCTGGGGAAAGTCAGATTACCATTTTTATTTAACAGAATTATTGCAGCGTGTACCTTTCAGTGTTTGCCTTACATAAGGTGCAGCTTCTAGGCTGCAAGTAGATGCAGCGGTACCCGGCTGACGCCTTGCCTTCTGCGGGGAGTATTCAGCATGCTGTAGTAAGAATATTTCCCACTCCAGGGGAAAAATGATCACAGATATGCATGTGCATACCCAAACTCTGTACTTTTACATGTGTGTGCAGAGACACTCACACTTTTTATGTACATGAATAAAAATAAACAGGTCTAAATCCTGCAAGAGAGAAAGAAACAGAGAGCGTGTATGTGTGCGTAGTCATGTCTCGCAGCTACAAGACATCTATATTTAGGTAGTTGTCTCATCCAAGAGGATGATACTTCGCTAACAGGCAATGAAAGAGTAGCTACGGTTACTTTTCAGAGTCCAGCTTTGACCATAAAAAGATGATTCTGATTAAAATGACCTTTCATAAAGCATGCTAGAGTCTGGCAGAGCAGCAGGCACCTCTGCCCACAGCCCGTAGCACTGCAGGACGAGTGGCGAGCCTCCCTCTCAGCTCTTTGCCCTCTTCCGCGATGCAGCAAAGCCGAGAGCTCACCAACAAATACAAAACTTACTCCACGCCAACAGCCACCTGCTAAAGCCATTTGGGCAGATGCCGCCGGCAGAGCCCCACGCCGGCTTGCTGCCACCGAC